TGAGATACATAAATGGTGTGAAAAAAATAACAAGCCTCACTTCACAGCTTCTGAGATGAGAAAGCTGACCGAAACAGAGGCAGCTGATCAGACAGAAGATGTTCAGAACAAAGTTTCGGCAGGCTTAAACCATAGGCGCGATACAGCATCAAAATATTACAATAAACTAACGGTGTAAGTAACATAACTTTTATTTGCTTTCTGTTTTCCTTGCCATGTGATTCGGAAACTGATCCTATTTTCTGACAGGGATAGAGCTGTAGCACAGAAAGAATCCATAGAATCCATGCTCCAACAGAACAAGGCATTAAATTTAATTGATCAAGCCAAATTTGAAATAGACATTTTTGAAGGACAGTTGTCTTTTGACGAATTTCAAACCATGATGACTGAAAAGTTTGGACCTCAGAATAACTGGCACAACCTTTACGATACATACAAGGTGAAAGGGCTTATTGCTGCTCAGCCTAAGATTATTGAAGCTTGTGTTGCAAATCTTACAAAGGAAAACTATTAAGAACAATTGGAAGAAGTGATCAGCATGAAAGAATATGAACCAAGCAAAGCAACCATAAGAAGAAAGGTTGAGGAGTTGCTCGGAGTAGCAGAGCAAAATTAATGGCCATTTAGAATTCCAGGAAGTGGTGCCCAAGGTAACATGTAACCAGGTCCTTTCTTTTTTACTGGCATGTTACCTTGTTGGCAGCAATGGAGGCTTCATAGAAAAAGGTGTTGTTGAAAACTTTTTGGTTTTAGAAAAGTTATGCAGTTAGAGTTGTAGAGCAAAGAAAGCCACAATGCTTAGGCATAAATAAAGTCTATTTTTTCACCCCTTTGCTTTGTTGTGTTGTTTAGCAATTAGTTCTATTTGATATTGTTTTTTGTCGTGTGTGCCAGAAAGTTTTTCAGAGTTAACCCTGTATTTTTTAATTGCTTTTATGAAAGTTTGCCTGCAAAAAGAAGATGTGAGTTGACAATTAAGCAGTTATTTTTTTTTTATATTGTTTTTTGTCATAGATATGACAGATAGTTTTTCAGATTTTAAGTACCTCCTGTATTTTTTAATTGCTTTTATAAGAGTTTGCCTGCAAAAAGGAAATGTGAGTTGACAATAAAACATGAGAAAGGTTGAATCATGAATCTTCTGTCTGGCCCAAGGTATTATGTAACCAGGACCTATCATTCTACTGGCATAGTACGTTGGTGACAGCAAAGGAGGCTTAAAGGTGTGCATGTGTCCTTTCTTTGCTTAAAGAAGTCTTTTTCACTATCGTTAAGGTGGCCTAAGCAAAGATAAAGTGCCTTGTGGCACCCTTTTGTTTTGTTGCTTGGCTGTTAATTCTATTTGATATTGTCCTTTTTTTAATGTGATTCATTATTTTAAGATTTTAAAATTTTTAAAGATGTTTTGTACACTTTGTAATCCTAATTTGTATTGATGACAGTGTGTCTGAGATGGCCTCAGTAAATACACGCACAACTGATCCAAATTATTTCCCCATTAATTGAATAAATTATGATTAATTGTGAATTATGTAAAATTATTACAAATTATTGGTAATTATTCCAAAAAAATTAAAATAATGAAAATAAAATTGAAATTGTCCGGAAGGACGATCATGCTCCGTAGCGACGCCCGAGCTGCGGCAAGCTTAGGTGGCTTTGGGTTGTGTCAAGCTGGATGATCACAGACGTGGATTTATTCAACTCATTTACACGAGGCTAATGGCCTGGTATGACAAATTAAGTGCTGCTCTGAAATCCACGGTTGAGGCTACGTTAGTCGATTTGAGAATTTACGCAACCACATCTGTCGTCTGCTAGCGGACTTCGCCGCTACAAACACCACAAACCATCACTTCCTCTTTGGAAAATTGATAAGCATTCAATATTTCCATAACGGCACTGGTAGCCAAGGAATGTGACGTCACGTTTGTTTTCACGTGAAAACGGCGATGATAGTTTGAGCGTGACAAACGGTGAAAATCAACATTCAAACGAATGTGACACACTGCACCGCTTTGTCACATTACTTCGGGTGTAACATGCAATCAGCTGTCAAACTGTCACATTAAAACGTATGTGACACATGGTACCCCAAGTAGACATGTCGTGTCACATCCAAACGAATGTGACACCCATGTACTGTCACGTTCGTTTAAATGTGTAATGCACCGTTATGGAAATATTGGATGCTTGTCAATTTTCCAAATAGATAGTGATGGTTCGTGGTGTTTGTAGCGGTGAAGTCCGCTAGCTAGACGACAGACGTTGCGGTTGCGTAAATTCTCATACCGTGGATTTCAGAGCAGCACTTAATTTGTCATACCAGGTGATTAGCCTCGTGTCGATGACTTGAAATCCACGTCGGTGATCGTCCTGCTCGACACAACCCAAATCAACATAAGCTTGCCGCTGCTCGGGCGTCGCTCCGGAGCATGATCGTCCTTCCGGACAATTTCAATTTTATTTTCATTATTTTAATTTTTTTGGAATAATTACCAATAATTTGTAATAATTTTACATAATTCACAATTAATCATAATTTATGCAATTAATGGGGAAATAATTTGGATCAGGTGTGCGTGTATTTACTGAGCCATCCCCGTGTGTCTGCCAAAAGAAGATTTTAATTGACAATTAAACATTTTGATGAAAAGTGTTCTTTTGTTTTTATTAAGTATATTTAGTATGTATAGTGACTGAGCTTTAAATCGTTGAATGCATTTTTTTTAAAAGCAAAACACTTCACTTTCAACAAAAAAGACTTATGAAAAATGATATGCGGCAACTACCAAAGGGCTAAAGACGGGACACTTCAATATCTTATACCTTATCAGAGGGTTTCCGTGTTTTTCTCCTTAAAGTTTATCTGTGCTTTAAGTGGTTTTACACATGAATATTCAGCAAATCACTTGATTTAAAACAAAAATGACAAAGAAAAAAAGATACAAGGCAACAACGGGAAGTATAAAGCTTTGGTCACAAATTTTGAAAAATGAATATTTTGAATGTGGCATCAATACTCCTTAATTGTACTTAATTAACTCTGTTCATATTAAGAAAAAAATTTAAAAAACGTTTTGAATAGAAACTGGCTTCCTAGGGTCATGTAGGGTCTTGTAATGGAAAATACAGAAAAGGATGGTTTGAAACCATCTCTGATGTATTTGATGGTTAGTCAATAACACTCTCACAGTGTAAGGATTGCCAGCAAAGAGGCTAGAAACTACTTCCTGATTCAAATCAGTTAAGTCTGCTCATTTCTGCAATCAATTAATACAAAATGCATATTTAAAATAATAGGGTACTTCGGAGAAGATTCAGACCGGAAGTCAGCGCGAAACGGGAGAAACAAAAGAGCGTCGCGAAGCCGTGCTAGGCAGTGGTGGGGGCAATGATGGGCAGAGTGGCGGTGAAGGCGGCGCGCACACGCTGCCCCCACCATGCCCAAACTGACCCCCACCACCGCCTAGCACGGCCGCGCGACGCTCTTTCGTTGCTCCCGTTGTCGCGCTGACTTCCGGTCTGAATCTTCCCCGAAGTACCCTATTGCCTCTAGAAGTCTCAATTAAGAACGAAAGGTTGGGATTTGATTCGTTAAATGCATAACTTTTTAATAAAGGCAGGGTAGCGCCGCAGGCCAAGGTAGGTGTATACGCCAGACGTGGATTGTCGAAACTGGCGCAGCATCACGCAGCCTGTTACGTCAAGACACGGTCTGGCGTACACCTACCTTGTACTTTCTATATTTGTTTCTAATTTTCCTATAATTAAGGCAAAGTGAGCTCTGCTTTTTGTTTGTAAGAGCTGATTTAACAACCTTTTCAGGAAATGTGACCTGAATTCGCATGTTAATATTGTCATCACTGTTTTCAGTGAGTGCCCCATTCTTCCCACTCGCCGGGAACAATGGGACAAATGCATACTTTCAGAAAATCGCTTCTGTGCATTTTCTGATACCTGGCAAAGTGCCTTCCTCCTCAAGATAAGGAACACTGTTAGAAATTAGCTCCGAAATTTTAAGGAGAAAAACCCTATAATCACGTTCATGGAGACTCCATGCATTTTCCATCTTTTTTCGGAGAGATTTTCTCAGGGCTGTAACAGATGTTCTTGAAAGCATTACTTGGGTCCTGATGGGAGGTAAAATGCACGTTTTTCTCAGATATTTTAAAGAGGGCTTCGCTGAAGCATTCTTTAGTCTCAAATGGTCAAATAAAGGACAATCTCCCACGAGCTCATTTGAGCGCCATCCTGTAGCTTTCCCATAATATTATGAAAACTGAGGTAAACAAGTAGGGAATTACCTTTCCTTCATTTTTTTACTGGTCGCAAACCTTTTTTCGTGTTTTCGTTATAGTGAAGCATGCATTTTTGTTCAAAATTCCAAAACTTTTCGGAGAAAGCCAAGAATTCGCATTTATGGAGAGCTCCATGCAGAAGTTTCGGAAAAACTCCATGATTTTTTCTTTTTTTTTACCGGAATTTTCTGTCAGTGAAGAGGGCATTCAAATGTATCGTTTAGGGTCGATGCGGAGTGTATACATCAAGTAGTCTTGGTTTAGCAGCGTTCTTAAAAACACGTCCCATTGTACCCCACCCCCTCTAAGTAGTTCCTCACAAGAGACCCTTTCGCTCGTCACCGAGTGGAAAACAAAAGTAATTGAAAAGCCAGGAACCAGTAGGACCGTTCCAACTGGTTCCTGCCTTTTTGATTACTTTTGTTCTCCACTCGGCGACGAGCGAATAGGTCTATCCGAAGCCAAATCTACAATGCCTTCATTTTCTGCCAAGTTACGAAGCATAATCTTCGTCGACTTTTTAGAGGGTGTGCATTTGAAAACTTTTGCTCAATTCCGTGGGAACCTATGCATTACTCTATACAAATTAAGTCGGTGATGCAACGAAGCAAAACCACTTCATTTCTCCCCGTGCTTCTTTGTCTCCGTATTAGGGGTGTGCGAATCAAATATTTGGGTTTCGATTCGAATCCGAATCAAACCCTAGATTATTTTTCAAACCGAATCAGGTAAAAAGGTTTCGATTCGAACTCTTCTGTCGTTTTGTGCATTTTTCCCTTATCTGCCCGCCTTTACAAAGTATTCTACTCGTCGCCGATCGAAGAACAAGAAAAAGAACAAAACCGGAAATGGCGCCGGCAACTTCACCTCACAGACCTGTCCGAGTGCATTAGTTTAAGAGTTTTCCTAAGCGTAACTCTTTCAAAAGGAATAAAGCCTGTTTCAAATACTTCTTGGCAGAGGAAAGAAACCCATTTGTCGACATTTCTCCCTTAAACCGGACTTGCTACCCACTCCCTTTCCTCCCGGCTTCCGGTTTTTTTCTTCCTCTTGTTCTTCGATTGGCGACGACTAGAATGGTCTATTAGTTCGAAGAGGAACCACCAAAGATTTGAAATTTCGAATAATTTGAGATCGAATCGAGTCTTTTGGTTCGGTCCCGAACTACGTGCACATCCCCACCCCGTACTCCAGCTCGTTCTCTGCCTGCAGGTGGGCGGAGGGCCCTCCGGACGGCCGGCCTGCCGTGCAGTCGGCGGGAAGCGAGGACCGGGATGACTCGAGCCGTGCTGTCTGGACTCGTGCGGTCCTCTCACCTGCGAACTGTTTGATTTGCTCATCTCTGCACTCCTATTGCATTAATTATGTTGCCACGAACCACTATTTGGAACCGCCTAGTTCTGTGTCGACTCCAGTTCCACGAGTTTAACTGTTTTCTCTCTTGTTGAAGGTTCCGCAAACTCCAGGAGGCATTTCAGTCATGTGTGACGAGGCTGACATCGCATCAAATTGACTTGTTCCCTCCCATGCGATGTCTTTGGCCTTCTGTTTCCCTTGCTCAAGGCCTGGCGTTGTTCACGTCGCCTTTTTGGCAAACTCCGACAGGACCAAAACAGGGTTGTAGCTGAGATTGCTACGCAGCGATTGCGTTCCACGAGGAATTTGCTTCATAGCCGCTCTTAAATCCTTCATAAACCTTACCAACTCGGCTTTGTAAGATTTACGGAGGCTTTCAGTGTATCTACGGATCAAGTTCGTCGTGTGGCATTTACCACAGGCGTAGCGCCACAGATTGTTCCTTAGTTGTAGTTTTTGTTTGATGTTGGTGTGGTTAGTACTTGCATGGCTTGACGGTTTCTGCTTGCGACTGGTGGTTGAGTTTGCGGTCTGCATGCTGGGAACGTCGCACCGCGTCTGCCCTCCGCCGCCCTCATGCCGTTCGTGTTGCTGCAGGTGCTGCAGGTGCTCTCGCCGCGCCCCGCATCCACGTCAAGAAGGCCTTCAGCGTGGACAGCTTCGGGCCGCGCGGCCCCCTGCTGCTGGCCGTGCCGCCCGCCGCCAGCGAGGCCGCAGTGGAGGAGCCCGGCAGCCTCGCCGCGCCGCCAGCGCCGAGGGGGGCCTCCCGCGAGCTGGCAACGCAACAGGCACAAACGGCTTTCGCCCCTGGAACGGCGGAATCAGTTCCTGCACCGGTAAAACTAAAGCGTAGTATTACCCTGTGTTTTCAAGCGTAATTAGTTTACGCTTGAATTCAAGCTGAACAGGCTTGGCCACTAAGATTTACTATAAGTAAATGTATGGGGAAATTTCTAGTCCATGCTTCATTTCAGGCGTAACCGTCTTCAAGCGTAACTTTATGCTTGACTCAAGCATAGTGTTACGCTTTAGTTTTACCAGTGTGCCCTTTGATGAGGCTTGACACTGTATAGGACTTGCAGGCATTGTTTTTATGCCCTTCTGAAGGTAGACCTTTTTTCACGGCTTCCGCGCCCGAGGTGCGCGTGCGACGTGGCTACGCTGTAGCCTCGCAGCTTCAGCAGAAATGAGCCACACTGCAAATCCAAGTGTAGGACAAGTCGACACTTGTAGGCGTACTGGTCTACGTAGACCAGTTTGTCCTACGCTTGCAAGTGTCGACCACTCGTGCCTGACGCTTTGAAGTGTCGACCACACTGTGTCCGACGTCTGCATGTGGACACTGTTTGTCCTACGGAAAACTACGATCAGTTTCCTATCGTGGCCCCACGCTTCCAGCCGTCGGACACGCTGTGGTCGACACTTCAAAGCGTCGGTCACGCTGTGGTCGACCCTTGCAAGCGTAGGACAAACTGGTCTCCGCCTACTAGTGCCGACTTGTCCTACACTTGTTTTTGCAGTGCACAGGCGCGCGGTGTGTGTATTTCGGTTCCTCAATCATTTTTAACTGGGTATTTGATAAGAAAAATGTGCTTCGTAATATCGTGTGGGGAGGTCCTAAAGACGTTTTTGTGCGACTGTCTTTCTGATTCTTCGCAGGTAGAAGAGGGCGGAAAACGGTCTCAGGCCACGCCGAGCTTCGTTTGCCGATGTCTGCCTACGTTTACATGATCTATCTCTCACATGTCACCAGCAATCGGAGTGACCGGGAGTGACTGTGATACTAAACCGTTCCAAGAACCTTCCCACGCGATCTTACGAATGATATTTTTCGAATCAATTACTTCCAATCAACAAAGGGACTGAAATACACACACCACGCCTGCAGCTCACCTCTGCTGCTTCAGCAAGGAAGCCGTGGAAAAAAAGTTTGTTGTCTTGATGTACGCCGTCCTTGCAGTGTGTGAGACTGTTTTGCCCTTAAGGCCGTACGCCGAAAACTCAAGTGTGTACTCTTTAAGTGCTTTGTGCGAGGGGGTAAACACTCCGGTGAACCTTGTATAGACTACTCTCTATTACGGGGTCTTACACTTGTATTACGCTTGTATTACGCCTCGATTTCATTGAAAAATGACATTTTTTGATACTTTTGGTCCCAAAATGTATTACTATTACGCGTATTACGGCGTAGTACCCGACTTTTGTGTACAGGGTATTACGCAAGTGTTTACCCCCTCGGCTTTGTGTGTGTACTCAGTGCACACTTCAGCTTTGAATGTAGTTTTCACACTAAATTCTTATGGACTTTTTTATGCATAGTTATGCATGCTCAGATACGTCCATAAGGTATGTATAATATTATGCATCACTGTGTACATTTTATGCAGGAAGATGCATAAAATGTACACAGTGATGCATAATTTTATACGTACCTTATGGACGTTTCTGCGCATGCATAACTATGCTTAAAATATGCGTCCTTATGCATTTAAAAAGTCCATAAGAATTTAGTGTGTTGATTGCCTTTGTTCCGCCAGTGCACGCCCAAGGTGATCGGCTGGTGCGACGTGGAGGGCTGCTCCGAGGCCGCCGTTTCGTGGAAGAGCCACGTGCTGCACTACCAGAGCCGCCACCTCGCCCAGGCCGACGACCGCATCTTCTGCACGCTGTGCCTGGCGAAGGTGACCCAGTGGTCCGGCCACATGGCCCTGCACAGGACCGGCTTGCGCTGCACCGCCTGCTCGGCCAGCTTCGTGGACCAGGAGGGCCTGCGCAGGCACTGGATCCGCTTCCACTGCCGCAGTCCGCCGGGGACGCCGACTGGCAGCCAGGCCACCTCCGCCGCCCTGCACAGGTAAGGCGAAGGCTTAGTCTCCACCGGGCATGAACCGATCGACGCCTCTGGCACGCCGAACATCGGCCTTGCCCTCTGCACTGCAAGAAAAAGTGTGGATAGTACAACAAAAGTACAACAAAAACTGTACAATAAAAGTACAACAGGGATTGTAGAAAGTACAACGAGAATTGTACAAACCACAACGAGCCCTGGACGGCACAGCACTCGTCATGCCGGTTCCATTGTTCTTTGTACAACAATTGTTGTACTTGAAAAGTACACTAAATTCCTGTTAAAAAATTTGCCAGAAATTTGTGTACTTTTGTTGTGGTTATTTCCTGCAGTGTGAAGGGGCGCGAATCAGGAAAGGACTACACTCTGGTGCCCAGAAACTGGGCGCCTTTGTCGCCCAGTTTCTGGACAGCCTACATTTAGAGTGTAGGCAAAGTTTTTGTGCCCTTCATTATTGTGCCCTTAGAGGTTGCGAAAGCCTGCTATGCCAAGGGCTTAGTTTAACTTTCGTTAGAATGGATTCCACCGTGAAAAGGTGATGGTAAACTCAGTATAGATATAATTATTACAGGCCGTTACAGGCACATGTCATTCTCTAAACCCAGTCAAAAAGCCTTTTCTTCGCTTCTGTTTGCCTACCTTGGCTGTGTTTTTGAAAATCTTCTTGCGCACACTATTTTAACACAATAGGTTGGTCTCGACCTTTTTCACCTCTGCACTCCCAGACTCGTATTGACTTTTTATCTCTTCCCATAAAGGTTTTTGTGCAAACGTATTATCTACTATTTTCTTTATAGCTATGCACTATTTTGTTCATTTTATAATGTACTTAGTCCATTAAACCGGCCTTTTTGTCGTTTGCAATGTACGTTTCAATTTCTTCATGATCTATTGACAATTTTATCTTTATTACGATCAAAATTGTGCATAGTTGAGAAGAAAATAGTACATTTTACGTTTGCTCAAAAAACGCAATAAGCAAGAGAGAAAAATTTAAGTCCATATAGGTCTGAGAGTGTGTTCACTGCAAATGCAAAGGCGATGATACGTAAGTACATTTTTTGGCGATACAATTGAGTATCGCCAATAAACGGCCTTACGGAAAAGTATTGCCTTCAAAACGGCGACACACAGAAGTATCGCCAAAATTTGGCGATACTTTTGGGTATTGCCAAAACCACGGCATTACACTGAGAACTTGTCCCCTTGATTTGCTCAACGTTTATTGCCAAATCGTGGCAATACTCCGAAGTATCGCCAAATTTTGGCGATACTTTTGTGTACTCTACAAATCAAAGAGTGTACATAGTATGCTCTAACTGGAGCATGCCTGCAAGCACGCTCTAGCTAGCGCATGCCTCCCAAAGCATGCACTAACTATTGTACATGCCATGTACACGCTTCCTGATGCAAAAAATTCCCTATCCCTTATGGAGTAAACGTCTGCTTCATTAGCGTGTACATGGCATGTATGCACTAGTTAGTGCATGCTTGGCAGGCATGCGCTAATTAGAGCGTGCTTGCAAGCATGCTCCAGTTAGAGCGTACCATGTACACTCTTTGATTTGTAGAGTATCGCCGTTTTGAAGGCAATACTTTTCCGTAAGGCCGTTTATTGGCGATACTTAATTGTATCGCCAAAAAAGGTACTAAAAGTATTGCCTTTCGATTTACAGTGTGTTTCATTTATAACAGATTCCGGTTTCCATAACTCATGTACTCAAAGAAATCTTCTCTGGCAAGAAGAACTTTACTAAAATTTGACACAAATGTACCAATATCAAAATTGTCGTGGCATTCCGGCTTTAAAAGCCTGTTACTGAAAATGTAATGGACATTTTGAGCTCTGGATGCCGGAATCTTTGAAAAATGAATCAAAGAACAGTGCCAGATTAACCATGAATTTCAATAAGGTAAATGCGCCATAGACTTTTTTAGACGTAGTCAAAATAGGCAAAGAAAGGCACTTTGACTGGGTTTTCAAACAAAAGGCATTCCTCTTTTTCTTTCAAGAGCTCAATTGGAAACCCGCCCAAATTTTCAAAAGCCAATTCACCAATTTGGGGAAAAAGACTTTCCTAAAAAATTTTTTTCCTCAAACGGCATTGTGTTTGTGCCCTAGTTTCACCAGTGCAGTGCCGACCTTGCCCCGGCGCCCCCTTCATCCATGACACCATTTTAACCCACGCCTCCCGGGCGCTGGGCTTTGGTCCTTTGGGAAAATGCTTTTCCCCTCCTTTTCCCCCGGGGTTTTTTTAAACCCTTTAACCCCGGGGGGAAACCCCCCCCACCCCTTTAAAACCCCCTTTCAGCGCCACGGCCCCACC